AACAAATCTAGAGGAGAAGCTCCACAAAAAAGTACAACCTTGACAAAGTGCATCTCATGAGTGCTTAAATTATTTTTAATGCATAACAAGTTCACCAAAATCACAAGTGGAATGCAATGTACAGGCAAGGTATAATATACATTAAAATAAGACACCCCCAAATCCCAAGGAGACAGCTTGATTTATGTAAGGTCTGGCCAAGTAAGATTTTACTTAATTCCAGTCTAGCAAGATGAAGTGCAAATGAAATGCAAACATCCCACAGATGTTTACTCTAATGATAGTTCCACTGAGTTCAACAATACTAACAAGTTTGCATGAGATGGAGCTCTAGAGGAAGAGGGAGCAAGCAGTTCCTCTATGCTAGGGCATGAGAGCCATATGATTTTGCGCCATATTCTTGGCCAAGTCACAATCCAATGAAACTTTCTTGTGCTTATACTGTCACATAGCCCTGGATGAAAAATCAGAAGGTATAAGGTTCCCTACCCCCCCCCCATCTAACATATTTTCCCCGTAAATGTGTAAAGAACAGAAACAGAAGTGTTAAAACTCTGCTCTCCAAGGATAACCAGTCACTGTACCTTAGAGATTCTTAAAAACTGTAAATATAGAATCACTGTCATTCATGCTTTTAGCAATTCGTCCTACAATCCACTCCATTGGTCCATATTTCCCTACTCAACCTGTACCTCATCAGTGTTAAAATTCAAACTTCCTGTAACTGGAGACTACCATTATACCTACCAAACTTGATCTATATTGGTAGCTACCAATGTGCTTTTCCTCGTATCTGCTAATCACTCATGGCTACCATATTTTTCTTCACTATACTGAATGTAGTGAGTTGCGTCTCTGTCACCAAGCAGATGGGTTTTGGAGTCCTTATTAGCCTCATGACCAAATGTTAAAAGCTGCCCAGTGGCATGAAGGAGTTAACTTGTGTTAGTAGCCTTGTTTGTTAGGTTTTCTATTAGCTGGGTAGTTTGAAGCTAGGAAAAGACATGAAGGCTGGGACTGCACTGGAGTGGATTTTACTCTGTTACTAACCTCTCTGCAGAGTTCTCATAGCTGGAGGCACAGGGAGATGGGTCATACTTATGCACGTCTATTTCCCTAGTTTGGTTCAGCACAGTATAACCTTTAGAAGTTCATCTTCCATTGCCACTGCCTGAGGTGGGTGCACCACAGTCCATGTGCCCCATTTAGTCAGAGAAGGAGAACTAGATCACCATCCAAGGATAACCTGAAGAGAATTAGTTGTTTAGGGCCCAGTTTTACTACTGGCTGTGAGGAGATGCTGCATCCCATCAGCAAAAGGGATGGAATGCTCCTCTGCTGTGTATCACCTGCTGTGTTACTGACCACTGAAAAAACTTACCTTATAACAGTAATGTCTTTAAGCATTCAGTACCAAAAGAATACCTGGGGAGGCTTGTAACTATGGCCGATTTCGACACAGAACAACTTTGAGATTCATCATTCTAGAGATTAGGATCTAGCACATCTTTTTGAGTCCTGTTGAGTCTTTACTGTTTCACTGACATAACCTACACAATAATTTTCTTCCAACTTCTGTATTACCCATTAAAAGCAGAGCTTGGGAAAGTTTTTGACTACAGCTTCAAGAATCCACTCAGCTATGTGTTGGCTAGAAGAGACTGTGCACGTTGTAGTCTGAAAAAGCTATTTTTTCATGTTCTGGATAAAAGCACAGTCCATATTTATTTATTATTATTATTATATATCCATCAGCAAAGCACTAGACCAAGAAAATATTCAATTATAAGTTAACCAGGATTTCTGTCCACATCCCTACCTACAGAAATGTGATTAAAAACATGATGGAGACAACCTTACCAACAGACACATTTTAACACTTTTAACCTTCTAAACTTGAGATCTGATGAGACACTGGGATCATAGATATCCTCTCTGTCTCTGCTTTAAACTGAGAAGCTCAGAACTATGGTTAAAAGGAGGAGTCACTGTACCTTAGGAATCTTTTAGTCCAAAAAAGATAATTCGCTGCATCCTAGTTTCTTAGAATTACAGAATCATAGAACTGGAAGAGACCACAAGGGACAGTCCAAACCCCTGGCTTGCACAGAGGCACACAGAGGCTGGGTGGCCATCTGTTGGGGATGCTTTGATTGTGTATTCCTGCATGGCAGGGGAATGGACTGGATGGCCCTGGAGGTCTCTTCCAAATCTATGATACTATGCAGAAACACACCATCAAAGCATTCCCAACAGATGACCATCCAGCCTCTGTTTAAAAACTTCCAAAAAAGGAGATACCACGATAGTGAGGCAGTGTAGTCCACTGCCAAACAGCTCTTACTGTCATTAAGCTCTTCCTAAAGTTGATGTAAAATTATTTTTCTTGTAATTTGAATCCATTGCCCCATTCCCTAGTTCTCTGGAACAGTAGTAAACAAGCTGGCTCTTTCTTTCATATGACATCCTTTCAAATATTTAAACGTCACCCCTTGGCTAAACATACTCAGTTCCCTAAGTCTCTCCTCATAGGGCACGGTTTCCAGACCTTTCACCATTTTGGTCGCCCTCCTCTGGATATGCTCCTGCTTGTCAATATCCCTTTTGAACAGTGGTCCCCAAGACTGAACACAGCATTCAAGATGAGGTCTGACCAAAGCAGAATAGAATGGCACTATTACTTCCCTTCCTCTACATGAGAAGAGGTTGCATTGATGGTTCACACAGATATACATGATAAAAGGATTAATTTCTTTATAATTATTAATGTTTACCTTATTTGTAAAGCTTCCCCATTACATAAAGTCTCTGCCTCTCTTAAAAACCACCTCCAACTGCCTTCCCAACTGGTCATTCAACCAGCTAGGACTCTGGTTCTCTGTTTTGTCTTAATTTCTCATGAGCTCTTCCTCAGCTTTTTATCAAGTTTTCCCCAGTTCTTGGGAGACAAGGTACTGCAGGCATCCCCCCTCCTCACTCCATTTCCCCATGAAACAAAGACAGAGGAAAAGATCCTTAATAGATGCACTGGGGAAGGGGCTTAAAAAGAGGTGTGCATTGACTAATCATTTACATTTGTCTTAGTCAGGATAATGCAAAATGGTTCAGACAAACACACAGGGAGAGCAGCACATGGATAAACTCCAGAGGTGGCGCATGGCAAGTCCTTGAGGTTAATTAAGAAAAATTAAATCCCACAAGGCCAGAAGGCCAAGGACGTGTTTGAAATTGCAACAAGGGGTATAGCAAAGATAAGCAAGGGCTGCTGCACTGAAGAAAATATCTTCATTTCTCTGAACAGGAAGAGGCGAGAAGTTTTAACATTCGACTGCACACACTTCGGAACTCTCTGGAAATATTTAAAAACAAAGTGGTATATATTTCAAATAGCAGATGTTCTGCACATAAGCAGTTTGTTTGTTTTTTATAAAATTCTTCCTGCACAATGTAATAATGGATCAAAAGAGAACATTCACCAAGATGATTATGGTTATCCTATACCCATAAGATCCCAAACCCCAATAGATCACACTTGTAAATCCAAACAGACAAATTCGGGACTCACAACTTAACCAGAGATGGAATGAACACATCCCATCCATGCTCAGTTACAGCAGGGCTGGGCAATGTTCCATCATTTCACCATTTTGAGAGAGACAGCAGAGGAAAGGAGGGGTAGTATGGGGTAGTACGGGGTTCTGGGGTTCCTGTGGGAGTGGAGTAAGTACATTTTCACATGTTTTCATGAGTCTGGGGGTCTTATTGCATTTATGGCCCAAAATAATGCCATTTTAAAAGAAATTCTGAAGGTTGGGGAGCTTTTGGGGACTTGTGGGTGGACCATAAAGGAAATGGAACTTGATTCCCATTTTTTGCAAGGGAGTCTATTTTATTCTACCTCTGTTTAGCATTTCAGATCACTCCTCAAATCCCATCTTTCCCATATAGCCTCAACCCCCATGTCCTTACTCTGGTGGAGACTATGGAGAACTCTGTTCTCATTTATTCCTAGTTACTCATCATTTGTCCCTTTCGCCTCCACAGACTCTTTAACCCACAATCTAAATTTTAAAATTCAGTTCTTCAGATTAGGAGGTTTATATTTCCCTCTTGCCCCAAAGTAAGATGCAATGTTCTATGGTGGACCTAAATAAATTATTTATTTACACCCCACCCAATCACAAGGAATCTGGACGGGTTACAGCAATATAAAGTACATAGAGTACAATAAAATTCTAAATTAAGTGTTGCATGTTTCCAGATTTAGTAACCAATATACAATTTTAGCGACCAACATACAATACCACTTTACATATATTTTTCTATTGTCGTTGCTTGTTTTAGGATGGGATGCCCTTTTGGTTAGAATTTAGGTTGTGAAATTGGGAAATTTTAATAATTCATAGATATACAGTTTTGGAATAGGTGGTCTGTTTTAAATACATTACATGCATACACACAAACATCTGTAAAATAGGTATTGTGTATACAGATGTACACATGACAAAACTAGTGAAAGGAATTAGAGATTTGAAGCAGGACTTGTCTAAAAACCAACAAGTATATATCTGCATGTCTTAGCTCACAGGGGATCCCTCCCATATATAGTAGCCTCCCCCAATCCTTCCTACATTCGTGCCAGGCCAGAAATAATGTGCAAGGTAATAAATATTGGGCCAAGAGAAGTGGTGGGATCTCTTTCTCTGGATGTCTTCAGAAAAAGGCTGGACAGCTACCTAGATGGATTTCCTGCATTGAATGAGGGGATGGACTCAATGGCCTATGGAGCTCCTTTCAACTCTATGATTCTATGAAATGACATGACTCACTGGAAAATATGGCTGTTGTTGTTGTGTGCCTTCAAGTCATTTCTGACTTCTGGCAACCCTAAGATGAACCTATGGGGTTTTCTTGGCAAGATTTGTTCAGAGGAGGTTTGCCATTGCCTTCCTCTGAGGCTGAGAGCGTGTGACTTGCTCAAGATCACCTAGTGGGTTTCATGGCCAAGCGGAGAATTGAACCCTGGTCTCCAGAGTCGTCGTCCAATACTCAAACCACTACGCCACTCTGGCTCTCGAAAAATATGATAATGCACACAAAAAAGAAAGGAGTAGGAAAGGAAGACCATCTTAACGGTGGATTGATTCCATCAAGAAAGCCAATGCATTGAATTTTTAAGACCTGAGCATGTCAGTGGATGACCAGGGCTGTTGGAGGTCTCTCATTCATAAGTCCACCATAAGTCAAAGTTGACTTGATGGCAAATAGCAGCAACAACAACAGAATGTATCCCACATGGTATTGTCTTCCCATTCTCAGAGGTTGCCACAGAACTTCAAAATTTCAAGAAGCAAAAAGACAGTGATATTCCCAATACTGGATTTCTACTCCAAGACTAGGAAATCTTTGGCCCACCTGAAGTTTTGGACTTCTACTCCTCACAGTCCCAGCCAGCATCATCAACAGTAAATAAAGTAAAAAATGGTCTGAGACACCAAAAGTTACCCACTTGAATTCTGCTCCTTGCACTTTCTGACAGCAATTAAGCCAGCTCAATGTTTTGCATAGGGAGAATTTAAATGGTCTGCTTGTTATCACAGACACTTGAGCCCAGGGGAAAGTTTGTTTTTGTTTTTAATGACCAAGAGCTCCACACAGCAACTACAGATCAGAAAATGGCTGAAGCCTTAAAGGCAAACCAATAATACAGTTTTGCTTAATGCAGCACAGAAAAGGCTGTGTGATGATCGAAAAACTTTGTTCCTAACAGGATACCAGTATTTTTGAGCATTTGGAATGAGGAACTGTGATGAAAGGGGTCTGTCGGAAAGGGTGGAGCAGCTGCTGCAGTCTAGGAAGGCATTGCTGTAATTCAAATGCTGGAAATACAGAAGATGCTTTGCTTAACAAGCAGTACACTAATGAAGCAAAGGTGAATCCTCCGTTGCCATTTTGAAAGCAGGTGCCCTCCCAATATAATTCAAATAGAGATGAGAATAGCTTATCATGAAAATTCATTTTCTGGAGTGTATCTTCCTTTACACAGGCAGAGCATGGTGGGGCTGGTGCAAAAACATAAAAGCTACATCCTTTCTAGCTAGAGTAATTCCAGCTTGATACACCTATTCCAAAAACATGAACCAAGAGGAAGGAAAAAATTGAGTTCAAGCCAGGACTGGGAGGACTGGTATACCTCAGTTAAAGCCTCTGACTAAGAAGGACATTTTTTTACCAAATATTTATATGCCCACACAGCCTTTCCTCCCTGTCCTCCATCACCACTGAGAGGATGGTGAAGGAGGTCTAGAGAGAAACACAAAACTTTCAGTGTCAGGTTGCAGGAAAACTGCTATCCCCAGGGGGAAGCACAGATCTATGTCTGGCCACCAAAATGAAAATCATAAGAAAAGTGAAAGCAAAAATTCATCCCTCAATGTATTTTGGCAGACTTCAAGTGGTCTCTGGAAGATTCAGACTGTTTTTGTTTACTTATTCAAGGCTTCCCTCACCAAACTGCTCCATTTCTTGTCTGCGTGTTGCTGCTGTTGTTGTGTGCCTTCAAGGACATTTCTGAATTATGGCAACCCTAAGGCATACCTATCACAAGATTTTCTGGGCAAGATCTGTATAGAAGGGGTTTGCTTTTGCCTTCCTCTGAGGCTGAGTGTGTGTGACTTGCCATGGCTGAGCATGGATTCAAACTCTGATCTCCACAATCACAATCCAACACTCAAACCACCACACAATGCTGGATTTTTGCACACTGTTAGTTTTGGATAAAATATAAAATAGGGAGCAAGAAAATGGTGTAGTGGTTTGAGCGTTGGACTAGGACTCTGGAGACCAGGGTTCAAATACCAGCTCATTAACATAAATCCTTGGACAAGTCACACTCTCTCAGCCTCAGAGGATGACAATGGCAAACCCCCTCTGAAGAAATCTTGCCAAGAAAACTCTGTGATAGGTTCAACTCCCAGAAGACCCAAACAGCTTGGTCAACAGTCAGGAATCTGAAATCCATAACATCCAGAGTACCATACTTTGGGACCACTGCTCTAGAATCTACAGAAAATCTTATGGTTCCTGGCTAATAAAGCCTGCTTCCACTGTTGTTTTTCATTGATCATGTGGTGGCAAACTGAGATGGAGAGCAACCTCTGGTACCAGCTTCACAAATGTCTTGTAAAGTTGCAGAGGTACTCAGCACTGCTTGTATTCAGAGCATTTTTGTTGAAAGGGGGGCATTATAGTATGTCTCCAATGTTAAATTATTTCAGGGTCCTGGAATTGCCATTTTCAGCAATTTACTGGAGAAGCAGGCCCCCATTTTATTTATAATTGTTTTGTCTCTATGTAAAGAAGAACACTGTCCCTCCCTCATGCCAGTCTTCATTTAGAGTTTGCAACTTGAAATAACCATAGCACATTGACTTTCTCCATTCCACTGTTTTTTTGTTATGTTCACTATATTTAGTGGTGTCCTGGTTCACCAAACACCCACACTGGCTGGCTGGGAGGGAACTACCAACTGATAAAGTAGGCAGAGGCATCTACTTACAAGCAGATAGAAAGTGTCCTTGCCTGTGAGAGTCCGTTGTTAAGAGAAAGGCGTGGGTCAAGCAGTCCAAGTCAAGGGAGGCAACAGGAATCAAGATCAACATGGTCCAAAGATCAAAGAAGCCAGGAGATCTAAAGTAGGAATGTTGCTTCCAGCAACTCCTTAGGCAAACTCAGCCCTTAAATAGCCCAACTGGTTCTAATCAGAGCTTGCTTACTTGCTGCTTAGCTCTATCTGTTGGATCCTCTTCTTCCTCCTCCTCGATTGAGGACTTCAAACTCCAGCTGTGTCCTCTGTTTCATCAGCAGACATCATCAGGTAAGTCTTGCCCTTGTCCTGCTGGCTGAGGCTGCAATTCCCCAGGATGAGCTGGCTGTAGCTCTTCAGCAGGGAGGGCTGGCTGCTCTACAACAGGGAGAGCTGCAGGCTGTTCCCTGTTGGAAGACTTGCCTGGGTCTCTACTCAGCCTCCCCATCAGACTCTTCCCCCAGGTCCCAGTCCTGAAGCTCTTGGCCCATGAGGAGGAGGTACAGATAATGCCTTTTTTCAAATGCCTTTGGGATGTGCACTTTCACTTACTTCAACTGGATAAGTTGCATAGATCTGTAGTGGTTTGAGTGTTGGACTAGAACTCTGGTCAACCAAGGCTTGAATCCTGGTTAAACCATGGAAACCCACTATTTGAGCTTAGGCAGGTCACCCTCTCTCAGTCTCAATGGCAAACCCCTTCTGAACCCCCATGACAGGTTAGCCTTAGGGTTGCCATAAAGCTGGAAATGACTTAAAGACACACAACAACAATGATTTACCTCATCACTAGTTCTATCTTCATCTCCTAGTAACAATCAATTTCATATCAGTTATACCAACAGCTTTTTTTTTTTTTTTTGCAGTGATCAGCTAAAAGGGCGCTCTACAACCTTTCTGATACTAAGTACCAGCAAATTTGTTCCATCAATATTTTTCAATATTCCATCAATAAGATACCACAGGATAGAAGTTCTCAGACTTTGGTCCTTTAGATGTTTTGGACTTTGACTCCCAGAAACCTCATCAGCTTCATCAATAGTTATCATTTATGGGAAATGAGTACAAACATCTGGAGAACTTCTGTCAGAGAACTTCTGCCATCCACAGGAATGCCAACTTACTGTAACAGACTGTATCTTTGGATCTTATCCCAGGTGTTATCCTGTGAGATAGAGCTGCTTTCACTGAATCTAAAAACGACTTTGGCACTTCCTTGTATTTTCCTCCATCCGGGCACGGCTTCAAAAATGCTAACTGATGAAGGATCTTGAAGAAATGCATTCCCTTTCTCCTTGGGCTCAGCAAACTCTCTGGCCTTAGAATAGTGACCCACCAGAAACAACCTGAGGGAAGTCTTCAGACTATGGCTGGACATGCTTATTACCCTTGTGACTACTGTTATGTTGCTCACATTTCCATTCAAAGATGATCCATGGCAAATATGGTACCCATTCCCAGGCAAATTTGACTGAAGGTGCTGTTTTAGCTTCTGGCCCTCAGTTTGCGATGGTATGGAAACCAGTGGGGGAATGGGGAGATCGAAGAAACAGAGGCCTCCAGACCTAAGCTGAAGAGAAGACAACTCTATTGAGTTCCAGCAGATGTTAAACAGAAGTTTCAAACTCTTCCCACTAAAACATGTTCAAGCTTCCCATTTGCCCTCGATATGGAAAAGAGGGGCTAAGCCATGCAGAGTTGTTCTCCTTCAGACAGACAGAATTCTATGTAAATGTAATTGCAAACTCTGCAGTGAAAGGATAAACAAGTTATTTTCTTACATAAAGGCTTGCTTTCCATTCCCGTTCTCTCCCCAGCCATCTCCTTTCCTTTGCTGTCAAGTTATCTGACCTCTGTTTGATAATCTCATTTCCTTAAAATCAAAATACCGGAAATTTAAGCTTCCTAGAGTGTTAATTGTGACCCTGCTCCATTGCTAATCAAAAAATTGGATGTTTTGCATGAAAATGCAGCTCTAATTAATTCTCAGTCATAAAGCGCCCTGGTTTTAATAACCCCTTCTTGATTGGATAGCCTTTGAAGAGACGGTTGCAGCTAATCCGCTAAACTAGAAAAACCGCACACAGAGGAAATAATAAGTGGGCTTATAAGGTCTGAACAAGATGATTGCATTAACACAGTCAAAGTGAAGAAGAGCAATCTCTCTGCCCCCAACCTCAACTCCGACTCCAATTGTGATGGAGAGGGACAATCCAGGCATCTGATGGAACATGAAGTCCCACAGCTATACTCCCCAAGGCAGAAAGAGATCCATTTTCAATTTTTTTCTGCCATGTTGGAGTTTTTCTTTGAAAAATCAGGATGTCTACCTGTCATGAACCTCTTTTTTTAAATCGAGACAAGTATTCCTCTCACACCATCTTTCCTCCTCCCTATCATCTCTGAATGACAGTGCATTATCATATGTAATTCTGAGAGTGTTAAGCAGCCTTTTCATTACTCCAAACGTCAAGATCAGTTTATGTC